TCTGGATCCGCACTAAAAGCATTAAAACGGCCCAAAATTTACTCCAAAAATCTCTTAATAAAATACAAGGGCTGACAAATGGGGCTTCTCCCTTAACTCAGAAACAACAACAGGAATAGTATTCAAACATAAAAACATGAAACCCGCCTCCCCAGTCCTCCAGCTAAACAACCAAACAATTAAATTTCAAAAACAAACCAAATTCTTAGGACTTATTTTCGATGAACATCTCACCTGGGATGCTCACATCCAAAACCTAACAACTAAATGCAGTAAAGACCTAAACACCCTAAGATGCCTAACTGGCTCTAACTGGGGAGCCTCTAAAGATACCCTCCTCTCACTCTACATATCACTACTTAGATCAAAACTAGACTACGGCTGCGCCATATACAACACCCGAAACAACTCTCTATCTAAAAAACTTGACTCAATACAATATCAGGCTCTCAAACTAATTACACGCACCCAACATGGCACCTCCTACACTTCACTTCAGGCCTTAACAGGAGAAATGCCACTAAGTCTACGCAGGGAACAGCTGAGCTTAAATTTCAGGGCCGCGTCCCAATCAAACCCTCTCATCCAAAACTTAATAAACCAAAACATCAGCCCCCAAAACCAAGCTCTAGCTCGTAAACACCCTTTACTTACCCCAATATCCCAAATAATAACAAACTACCTAAATGAACACCAAATTAAAAATCTTGAACAAAACTGCAAACAATCAAATATCTTCACCCCTAAACTTAAAATACCCAAAATACACTAGCTAGCCAAATAAATAAACAAACCTACCCAAACATAGCTAAAACCACCACACTAGCATGCATACACGAAAATTGGCCAAATTGGTGTCACATTTACACGGACGGATCTTCAGATCCGACCTCCAAACACACAGGTTTCATACCACACAACCAACTAAAACCACACAATCCTTCCGACTCCCAAACAACCAATCAATATTCATGGCAGAACTAATGGGCATGGCCTCAGCTCTCCATAATCAAGAATCCCAAAACCACAAAAAAAATCCTAATACTTACCGACTCCCTCAGTGGACTGCAAGCCCTCCAAAACAAAAATACCAAAAACCGTCCTAAATTAATAAATCAAATACTTAAAAGCTCCAACGACCTAACTAAGGCAGGCAAACAAATAACCTTCTTGTGGACACCCGCCCACGTAGGAATAAAACGCCGATAAAGCAGCTAAACTATCCCTCAAAATCCCAGAAATAAGCTTAAACTTACCCATCTCAAAATCAGAAATTAAAAGTGTAAACAAGCAAAAAATCACAAAAAAAGGCATAACCTATATCTAAACTCAAATAGCCAAATCAAAAAAGTACTCAGCAAACCACTAATCAAACCAAAAATTCTCCATCCATCAAACAAAATCGACAGAGTAATCACTAAACTCCAAACAGGACACACCAACCTAAATAACCACCAATATTTTTTTAAAACAACACACCACAGGTAACTGCCCACACTGCAAACAACTAGAAACCCCAGAACACGCACTCATCCACTGCACACACTACCTAACACATCGAACCGCATTACAAACCACCCTCAATCTAAACAAGGCTCTCACTCTAGAAGCAATACTAAACCCACAAAATAAATTAGAAAACTTCAAGGCCTTAAGAGTATTCCTTATCAAAACGGAACTAATAAAACGCATCTAAAAACACAATAATCTACCAAATCAAAATCACATAAACAAACAAACATCCACCACACCCAGCTCCCTTAGTTCTCCTCCCCAACCCCATCGGCATCTATTCCAAATCTCAAAATTCCCAAATTCTATATAAGCAACCCCTAAAGCCCCCTCTTGGGTTGCACACACCACGTTCGCCCCTTTCGGAAACACATCAAATGGCCTGGCCGGGCCCGTGTGCGAAATACGCATCAGTCGGAAAGAGCACGTTAAATCTCCAAAGTAAGTAAGTAAGTAAGTAAGCGAGGATTTGGACGTTGTCCCAGTTGATGATGTTATTGGGACAGTTGCTGATATGGTCGGAGATGGCTGATTTACTGTCGGATTTAATGGTGGAGGTTTTATGCTCTTTCATTCTGGTGTTGATTGGGCGGGATGTTTCACCTACGTAAGATTGTCCACAGTTGCAGTCAATTTTGTAAACTACACCTTTAAGCTCTTTGGGCTTGGTTGTGTTCCTGCCGTTGGCTCTCAGCAGGGTGTTGAGGGAGTTGGAGCTGGTGAAGTGGGTGTCGATGTTGGCTTGCTGTTTGAGGAGGCGGCTGATGATGTGGGAGGCTTTTCCTATGAACAGGATTCCTGATTCGGGTTTAAGGGTCGTAGGTCTGGGTGTGAGATGGATTACAGAGGCGATGACTTTGTCGACGAGATTGGCTGGATAATTGTTGATGTGGGTGAAGACTTGGCGGAGGTGTTCGATCTCAGGTTTGGGGTCAGCAGAAGAAAGGTTGATGGCTCGTTTGGTGAGGGTGGAGATGATGCCAGTCTTGGTTCAACAACACCCCTGAGTACAGTTCACCATCGCAATAGAAAAGGACAACCAACTACCCTTCCTAGATGTCCTCGTCTCCAGAAGCCCAACAAACAGAATCCAAACCAGTGTCTACTGGAAGCCCACCCACACCGACCAGTATATCCACTTCAACTCTAACCACCCTCTGAGAACCAAGACTGGCATCATCTCCACTCTCACCAAACGAGCCATCAACCTTTCCTCTGCTGACCCACTACATGGCCGTCCAGCGTAGACGCTGTCTGCACCACTGTAGACGTGCTTGACGGTGGTTTCCTGTCAAAATGGGACGTCTGGCGGGTCTTCTGGCGACAGTCCCTGCACATCTGAGGCGACGACGTACGGTTTGTGACGATATTCGTCGAAGGCAAGGGATGCTTCTTGCAGTCACTGTTGCTGGCTGGAATCGATTTCGTAGGTGTGTTGATCGAATCCAGTTGTCTTGTCGATTTTTGGTTAGACGTGGCCTGCCACTCCGAGGATAGTCTCTGACTGCATTCGTCTGTTACCAACGTTGCCATAAACATCAAATGGTGTTCCTGAGGACGTTAAATTGTCTTGCAATATCACTTTGACTCGATCCTGCTTTAAGCATACCAATGGCTCGCAGACGCTCATTTTCGGACAGGCGTGGCATTTCGTAATGTTGAATAATTGCGTTATTTTGGTGTTTTTGTGTGGTTGTTGTCAGCACGATGCTAAACAATGGAATCCAGTTAACGCACATGTTTTTATACACATTCTTGGGTAGTGAAATCATGGGGCCTGCATAAAAGTCAACATTTGCATGGAATGCATGCTTTTCTGTAGCAGTTGCGTTTTTGTGACTTGATTCCATACATGTACTACAATATTGAAAACCAAATTTTACTTGTTTGAAAAATACACTAAAATATTGGTGTCACAGGAACTTCTGTTGTTGAGTATTCAATATGTGTCTGTATGTATATGTGTATATAAAGACTTGCCAAGAGCAGATGTTCTTTACTTTTGTTCCTCACCACTAAATCTCTGGAATGTGCAGCAAGAAACTAGCGGCTCTGATTGGATGATATTATTTAAGATTTTGCTGTTTTCTTAGCATTCACCAAGTAAGAAAAACTGACCACGTGTTGCGTGTAACCTTCTGAACAGGAGCAAGACACTGAAGGACACACATTGTCGGGGGAAAGTTCTCCGGTTTGATTTGCTATGCTTTAAAATGACCTTGAAACAACTCTCCATAAAGAGGCTCGTGGTGGTGTAAGAGTACTTCCTAGTGAGTACAACAGCTGTTTTGACACTGTTATAAGCCGACGACACGGCTCTTATCCTACCATCCTACTTATTTCAAGAATCTGTTCATTTCATAGGTACAGTGATAGTTGGCAGCTTAAAATCAGTTATTCGAAGACAAAACTAATATTTGGCGGGACTAAAAAGGATTAACGGTAGTCCTTCAAAATTGGTAAATTTATGATATTATAATGTTGATTCTTATCATTACCTTGGCGTCACCTATCAGAAAAACAAAACACAATCACAAAGACTAAGCAAATTCTAAATGAAAAGTCAACCAAGTCTATGTTTTTAGTTTTAAGCCAAGGTAGAAAACTAAATATGCTGACTAAGATGTTTTAATACTTTAGTTAACCCTCGCCTTTAATTATGGTTATTATTATGGTACCTATTTCCATGTCAAGCATTGAAAAGATCGGAACTGTTTTGTTCCTAAATATTTTTATGTTAAAACAAATATATACAAAATGTAAACTGAACCGCAAAAGAAACCTCACCATGGATAGATAACTTGGCAAAACTGATCATCAAGGTTGAAATGAAAGTGTCAAATATTCTTAAAGTGAAACACTAGTCTCTAAGAAAATTGCACCACAAGTCAGTATCTCGTGTGTCCGCCATATACATTGATGACTGCCGTGCAACGTCGATACATGGAATGGATTAGGCAGTTGATGAAGGCCATAGGCACTTGAGCCCACACTCTGAGGAACGTGTGAAGAGGAAGCAGACTCCATGTTTGACAATATCATAACATTATCAATTTTATCCTTGACTCAGGGACCCGTGAGGATCCGGGGTAGAATAGGTCTTCAGAAACCCATGCTTGCCGTAAAAGGCGACTATGCTGTCGTAAGAGACAGCTAACGGGATCGGGTGGTCAGGCTCGCTGACTTGGTTGATGCATGTCATCGATCCCAATTGCGCGGATCCATGCTCATGATGTCAATCACTGGATTGTCTGGTCCAGACTCGATTATTTATAGACCGCCGTCATATAGCTGGACTATTGCTGAGTGTGGCGTAAAACAACCAACCAACCTTGACTCAGGGAATACGAAGTGGAACAATAGTAGAAGTACCAACAGCTGTACATGAGACGTGATTCAGAGTCAGATACATAGTTCAGATTCGGGTAATGGGACAGCCACAGGGGACTTCAGGGTGGCGCTGTGTCAACAAAAGTAAAATGTCAATCTTGCATAACTATATTGTTTATTCTAAGCAAATACATGTTCATATATAATTTTAAAATATAATAAAAAACAACGCATCTATGAAGTTGAGCAAGAAACAAATATTTATATGTTCATTCATATGCAAATGTACTGGTGTCTCAGCATCGTATTTCTACACCCTACAGTCAGATATATACTGTCTGATAGCTGGGCACAGCACTGAGAGCGGTGTATCGACTATGTAGAAGACATACGTCAGCCTTCAGTGCGGACTTAGCGGGTTTGAATCCCGCTGGCGACAAAGGTGTTTCATGAAATTGTTCTATCATCAAGATAAATGATAGGGGGAAAAAAAAAATTCCGTCATTATGCAGTGGTGTTTAACTAACAATACAGTTAGTTAGACCATGGTCAAAGACATAGGAGCCATGATTTAAATCGACTATAACAGATATTCATAGTCATTTCTTGTTTGATAAAGGGGTTAGCATCTGCACCGATACGTCGCATTCTCTAAAGAAAAGATATTGCTGGCGATTGTACTACGGCGTGGAAAATGCCAAAACACTGTACTTGTATGTCAAACACTGTACTTGTATGTCAAACACTATACTTGTATGTCAGACTTCCTCTCCGAGTTGCCGTGAACATGTCTGACATTTATCTTTTTGACTAGTTGTGCAAGTTTATTACTGTTGGCCCACTAAGAAAACTCCAAAGTAGTTCTTCCTTTGGCCGGACTCGATGGCTTCATCTGTCGCTGCCACTGTGACTTGGTCCCCTGCGTCCAAGTGGAACACTCCCTGCAGCTCGGACACATGTTCGTTCTTTCTGGGCTTCATGTACAGCAGTTTTTTCTCGGTGTCCTTTTCAAAATTCTTCAAGACCTGGTGGATGGCGTTGGATCCTGCCTTGAGCTGCAGGTGACTGTAGATGTAGTAGTAGCCGGTGTGAAGCACCTGCAGGTGTTTCTGCTCCCTCATCTTCATACTACCCACCAACAGGATGTCTACACCCCGTGTCTCCCATCGAAGTGGTCTCACTTCCCGACTCCTCTCTACAACAGACACTGACATACAATACCCAGAACCAAAAGCTATGGCAAGAACGCTAATGCACCATGTCGTGTCTAATCTCATGTTATTGTAACACATGCCCAAAGACGTGATGATATATGTATCTCCATACATACCTCTAACACTACCCCTAACCCTGACCAGCTGACTTACCTTCCTCGGTGTCCTTGTAGTACATGTGAGCCAGGGCTACTTGGCGGTTGGCGGGGGCCCCTGTCTTCATGCCAGTGGTCATGTTGAATGTCACCTCATCACGCACTATGTGGGGAAAATACATCATGATTAATGCTTGTGTATTTACATTCATCAACCCTCACAACCCCAACCCCAACCCCACCGCACCACCGAAAATCTGGATGCCATGATGAACAACTGAGGCATATATAAATATGATATTCACGTGGTATTATATGGCTCGGCTGTTACTTCACCTGCTATGTTTATTAGGAATAGTGATGGTAGAGCCCTCATGGTTATATGAGAAGTAATGAATCTGTACTTACCTTTTCCTACTTCTTGGTCGACATATATCTCGGCATACTGAAACACAGAACATTTTGATATTTTCCAAAGCAAGTTAACAGCTAACAATGGTTATAGCTACCTCCATCGAAGGTTTATATACGCCAAGAAAAAATGAAGTAGCATATCTTTACTTTCATATCTTCCGAACTTAAAAGTAGCTGTTTGAAAAACGATAATGATATCACCGGTACTTGATGAAAAGTTTGTATAAGAACCCTTGTCTTCCCCAGATGACCACTAGGACAGGGAGGCAAGTGAAGGGGGAGTTCGGTAAATATTGCCATGGAATAGTTCCTAATTGTGTCCTCAAACCATCGACTCTGCATTCAACTTGAGTGTGTAAACAAAGATTAGCACATTGTTTCCGAAAGTATTGCCTGATGTGGAAATATTTAGATGGTGGATATTACTGTCCGGGTGTGTATTATCTTACCGACTTATTAAAACATAAGAAACCCAATCTCATGAGAATAAAGAATTAATTTGCATCCAACATTATCGGTGCTGGTATAAATCTATTGACTTCACTACGTACCCCATCAATCAGCTCGAGCAGCTGGTCAACCCGTCGGAAGCAGCAGTGGTCTGGATACTTGGTAGATTTGATGTCACGTAAGAGGTCAAAGCCAGCCTTGGCCTCTAAAGGTTGACACTTGGTGCACAACTTGAATGTTTTAGGCTGGCCACTCTCCGTCTCAAAGAAATCGTCTTCTTTGTCATCGGAAAAGAAGGGTCCGTATTTAGGATTTGTGAGTATATAGAACACAAACATTAACACGTTGAGAAAACACAACACTGCAAAACATATTTCCAGTTTCTTGTAGCTGTGTTTGACATCCTCTACACGACTCTGTGTACCAGAAGAACCCCGGCGATGCTGCCTTCTTCCCTTGCCATGCTTGGGTTTGTGCGCGGTAAGAGAGGAACTAGTGTGCGAGTTCTGAGCATTTAGATAGCTGGAGGTCAGTGCCAGCTGGTTCGTGTGTGGGTAGATTGCCACACTGGACTCTGTCCGGGCGGGCGTGGATATCAGGGACATATACATGTCCTCACAGTTGTCAAGTTGCTGACAGTTCGAGTCGAGAACCTGGCACGTAGAGGAGTCACTGCCAGGAACCGTTTCAGTAGATGTATCAACCCTCTCTAATGACGTGTCTGGGGTCGGTTCTGACGTCATGTCATCAAACAAATGTTCCATCAAAACCGTGGTATTTTCAGTGCTCATGTTGGTGTCTGAGAAGTGTAACGCCTGCCTTACTGTGTTCCGCGTAGGTACATCATATGCGGGTCTGGCAATTCTGTACTAACTTTTTATATTACCGAAATATTTCCTTGTTAAACTGACGCAGGATTGAAAGTAACAGCCAGCGATGTGACTCATTGATGTATATTTAGCATCATTATAGCAATGAATAATTCAAGCAGGAATTCTTTCATAACGAACGTTTCTTAATAAGTGTAAACGAAAGACGTACACATAGACTACCGGCCCATAGTGTATAACCACGTGCTGCATCAACACACTGTACACACACACACACAGAACTGGTATTGCTGACAGTGTTGTAATGTACGACAAAGCAGTACTGGTGTTTCTGTATAGTACTGTACAATACAACAGTACTGGTATTGCTGACAGTGTTGTACTGTACGACAGAGCAGTACTGGTATTGCTGACATTATTGTACTGTGCCACACAGCAGTACTGGTGTTTCTGTATAGTACTGTTCAATAAAACAGTACTGGTGTTGCTGACAGTGTTGTACTGCACAACAGAAGCAGGACTGGAGTTTCTGTATAGTACTGTACAATACAACAGAACTGGTATTGCTGATAGTGTTGTACTGTACGACAGAGCAGTACTGGTATTGCTGACAGTGTTGTACTGTACGACACGGCAGGACTGGATTTTCTGTATAGTACTGTACAATACAACAGTACTGGTATTGCTGACAGCGTTGTACTGTACGACACAGCAGGACTTGTATTGCTGACAGTGTTGTACTGTACGACACAGCAGTACTGGTATTGCTGACAGCGTTGTACTGTACGACACAGCAGGACTGGATTTTCTGTATAGTACTGTACAGCAGTACTGGTATTGCTGACAGCGTTGTACTGTACGACACAGCAGGACTGGATTTTCTGTATAGTACTGTACAATACAACAGTACTGGTATTGCTGACAGTGGTGTACTGTACGACACAGCAGGACTGGTATTGCTGACAGTGTTGTACTGTACGACACAGCAGTACTGGTATTGCTGACAGCGTTGTACTGTACGACAGAGCAGTATTGGTATTGCTGACAGTGTTGTACTGTACGACACAGCAGGACTTGTATTGCTGACAGTGTTGTACTGTACGACACAGCAGGACTGGTATTGCTGACAGTGTTGTACTGTACGACACAGCAGGACATGTATTGCTGACAGTGTTGAACTGTACGACACAGCAGTACTGGTATTGCTGACAGCGTTGTACTGTGCAACAAAGGAGGACTGGAGTTTCTGTATAGTACTGTACAATACAACAGTACTGGTATTGCTGACATTATTGTACTGTGCGACACAGCAGTACTGGTGTTTCTGTATAGTACTGTTCAATAAAACAATACTGGTGTTGCTGACAGTGTTGTACTGTACAACAGAAGCAGGACTGGAGTTTCTGTATAGTACTGTACAATACAACAGTACTGGTGTTGCTGACAGTGTTGTACTGTGCGACACAGCAGTGCTGGTGTTGCTGATATCGTACTGAACAATACAGCAGTACTGGTGTTGCTGATATAGTACTGAACAATACAGCAGTACTAGTGTTGCTGATATCGTACTGAACAATACAGCAGTACTGGTGTTGCTGATATCGTGCTGAACAATACAGCAGTACTAGTGTTGCTGATATCGTACTGGACAATACTGCAGTTCTGGTGTTGCTGATATCGTACTGGACAATACAGCAGTACTGGTGTTGCTTAAACAGCTCTTCTACTGGTGAGCGCTTACAGCTCAGCTACCTTGCCACAAAACGCCATCGTGTATGACGTCACAATACTTTGACAGTACCTAGATAATAATAGTGATACAATTTATCTACGGTGGATATATTCTAATAAATCTAGTTTCCTTAGCTTCTAGTAGTTTGTCATTAATAAAGTTAACAATGTTATGTTTTGTTTGTTTGTTTGTTTGTTGTTTTACGCCGCACTCATCAATATTCCAGCTATATGACGGCGGTATGTAAATAATTGAGATGGGGCCAGACAACTCAGTGACTGATATCATGAGCATCGATCCACGCAAATGGGATACGAAGACATGCGTCATCCAAGTCGGCGAGTCTAACCCACCCGATCCCGTTAGTCGCCTCTTATGACAAGCATAGACGCCTCTTACGACAAGCAACAGACCTATTCTAACCCAGGTCTTCACCAGTATGTTTCTGAGTGTTGCTAACACAGTAATAGTACTTGTGTTGCCATATATAGGGCTACACAACACAACAGTACTGGTGTAGCCATATATAGGGCTGTACAAAACAACAGTACCGATATTGCCATATATAGGGCTGTACAACACAACAGTACTGATGTTACCATATATAGGGCTGTACAACATAACAGTACTGATGTTGCCATATATAGGGCTGTCCAACACAACAGTACTGATGTTACCATATATAGGGCTGTACAACATAACAGTACTGATGTTGCCATATATAGGGCTGTACAACACAGCAGTACTGCTGTAGCCATATATAGGTCTGTACAACACAACAGTACTGATGTTGCCATATATAGGGATGTACAACACAATAGTACTGATGGTACCATATATAGGGCTGCCCAACACAACAGTACTGATGTTACCATATATAGGGCTGTACAGGACAACAGTACTGATGGTACCATATATAGGACTGCCCAACACAACAGTACTGATGTTACCATATATAGGGCTGCCCAACACAACAGTACTGATGTTGCCATATATAGGGATGTACAACACAACAGTACTGATGTTACCATATATAGGGCTGTACAGGACAACAGTACTGATGGTACCATATATAGGACTGCCCAACACAACAGTACTGATGTTACCATATATAGGGCTGCCCAACACAACAGTACTGATGTTGCCATATATAGGGATGTACAACACAACAGTACTGATGTTACCATATATAGGGCTTTACAACAGAACAGTACCGATGTAGCCATATATAGCGCCGCACAACACATCAGTACCGATGTAGCCATATATCGGGCTGCAAAACACAACTGTACTGCTGTCGTCAATTATACGTTGTACAACCCAACACGACTGTTGTTACCATATATAGCGCTGAACAACACAACAGTACCGATATTGCCATATATAGGGCTGTACAACACAACAGTACTGATGTTACCATATATAGGGCTGTACAACATAACAGTACTGATGTTACCATATATAGGGCTGTACAACACAGCAGTACTGCTGTAGCCATATATAGGGCTGCCCAACACAACAGTACTGATGTTACCATATATAGGGCTTACAACATAACAGTACTGATGTTACCATATATAGGGCTGTACAACACAGCAGTACTGCTGTAGCCATATATAGGGCTGCACAACACAACAGTACTGATGTTGCCATATATAGGGATGTACAACACAATAGTACTGATGTTATCATATATAGGGCTGCCCAACACAACAGTACTGATGTAGCCATATATAGGGCTTTACAACAGAACAGTACCGATGTAGCCATATATAGCGCCGCACAACACATCAGTACCGATGTAGCCATTTATCGGGCTGCAAAACACAACTGTACTGCTGTCGTCAATTATACGTTGTACAACCCAACACGACTGTTGTTACCATATATAGCGCTGAACAACACAACAGTACCGATATTGCCATATATAGGGCTGTACAACACAACAGTACTGATGTTGCCATAAATAGGGCTGCCCAACACAACAGTACTGGTATTGCCATATATAGGGCTGTACAACATATCAGTACTGATGTAGCCATGTATAGGGCTGTACAACACAACAGTACTGATGTTGCCATATATAGGGCTGCCCAACACAACAGTACTGATGTTACCATATATAGGGCTGTACAACATAACAGTACTGATGTTGCCATATATAGGGCTGTACAACACAGCAGTACTGCTGTAGCCATATATAGGTCTGTACAACACAACAATACTGATGTTGCCATATATAGGGCTGTACAGGACAACAGTACTGATGTAGCCATATATAGGGCTGTTCAACACAACAGTACTGGTGTAGCCATATATAGGGCTGTACAAAACAACAGTACCGATATTGCCATATATAGGGCTGCCCAACACAACAGTACTGATGTTACCATATATAGGGCTGTACAACATAACAGTACTGATGTTGCCATATATAGGGATGTACAACACAATAGTACTGATGTAGCCATGTATAGGGCTGTACAACACAACAATACTGATGTTGCCATATATAGGGCTGTACAGGACAACAGTACTGATGTAGCCATATATAGGGCTGTTCAACACAACAGTACTGATGTTACCATATATAGGGCTGCCCAACATAACAGTACTGATGTTGCCATATATAGGGCTGCACAACACAGCAGTACTGCTGTAGCCATATATAGGTCTGTACAACACAACAGTACTGATGTTGCCATATATAGGTCTGTACAACACAACAGTACTGATGTTACCATATATAGGGCTGCACAACACAGCAGTACTGCTGTAGCCATATATAGGTCTGTACAACACAACAGTACTGATGTTGCCATATATAGGGATGTACAACACAACAGTACTGATGTTACCATATATAGGGCTGCCCAACACAACAGTACTGATGTAGCCATACATAGGGCTTTACAACAGAACAGTACCGATGTAGCCATATATAGCGCCGCACAACACATCAGTACCGATGTAGCCATATATAGGGCTGCAAAACACAACTGTACTGCTGTCGTCAATTATACGTTGTACAACCCAACACGACTGTTGTTACCATATATAGCGCTGAACAACACAACAGTACCGATATTGCCATATAAAGGGCTGTACAACACAACAGTACTGATGTTGCCATAAATAGGGCTGCCCAACACAACAGTACTGGTGTTGCCATATATAGGGCTGTACAACATATCAGTACTGATGTAGCCATGTATAGGGCTGTACAACACAACAATACTGATGTTGCCATATATAGGGCTGTACAGGACAACAGTACTGATGTAGCCATATATAGGGCTGTTCAACACAACAGTACTGATGTTGCCATATATAGGGCTGTACAACACAACAGTACTGATGTTGCCATATATAGGGCTGCACAACACAACAGTACTGGTG